CACGTGAGTGCCGCTGGTCTCCGGGGACGCCGTCTGCGCCCGACGGCAGCGCCGCTCCTCGAGGCTCGGAGCCAGCGCGCCGAGCCACCGCCACGTCCAGGATCGGGCTGCCCACCGCCCGCGCCCAACCCGGGCCCTGGTTGTTAGAAAGTCCCGTAGGTGGTGCTTTGCCTCTTTACAGGGTCAGCGCCTTGCTGCCTTCTCGGAACTTTTTATTTTTCTTTTCTGTGTGCGCCTGGGGCTTGAACTCGGGGCCCGGGGCGCTATCCCACCCCACCTCCACGCAAGGCTGATGCTCCACCAACTTGAACCATAGCTCCACTTCTGGCTTTTTGTTGGAGCGTTGGAGATAACAGTCTCACCGACTTTTCGGCCTGGGCTGGCTTTGAACCACAATCCTCAGGACTTTGCTACAATTGCAGGCCCCTCACCTTGCTGATGTCCTTAACTTTTTTATTCATACAGTCGCTTAGGTGAAAAAAATCTCTCATCTCAGTCGATCTTCCGCCTTCAGTCCATCCACTTCTAGAAAAGTCTCATGGACTTTTCTCTTGGGGCTGGCTTCAAGCCTCTATTTCAGCCTCCTGAGTAGCTAGCATTGCATTCGTGAGCCAAGGGTGCTTTGCTACTGGGGAGCTCTTTTCATTAATAGTTATCATTCCTATCCCACTTCCCTTCATTCTCCCCCCACCCCAACCCTTTTCACAATAGAAATGTTTTTATGTGAGAATTTCTATCTGACCCCATTATTATGATTCTAGGTGGGGAGTATAGTGAAGATGATGTCAATGAATTAGTGAAGGAAGATGAAGTGGATGGTGAAGAACAGACCCAGAAAACCAAAGGGACAAAACGGAAGGCTCAGAGCATTCCAGCCAGGTGATGCTGCCCTTTAGAGTGCTGAGATTGATCACATGACAGGGTTTGGTCTGGGATTTGTGCTTTTTTTAAAAAAAATTGTCTGGGATTCTAACCTTTCTGTCTTTTGAGGGAAACATTTGCTGATGTTTTAAAATTAAGTTCTTTGGAAAGTTAACAATTTTTTTTTTTGTACCAATCCTGGGGCTTGAAACTCAGGGCCTGGGTGCTGTCTTGTCACCTTTGTGCTTAAGGTTAGTGGCTTCATGCATGCTAGGCAAACACTGTACCACTAACCACATCCCCAGCCAAGTTAATTTTTTTTTTAATTAAGAATTGCAAGGATCTCTCTCTCTCTCCCTCTCCCTTTCCCCCTTCCCCCCCCTCTTTCTTTCATCTTGGGGCTTGAACTCAGGCTACCACTTGAGCCACAGCGCCACTTCTAGTTTTCTTGTGGTTAAATGGGCTTTCTTATCCAGACTAGCATCAAACTGCTATTCTCAGATCTCAGCCTCCTGAATAGTTAGGATTACAGTCATAAACCACCAACGCCTGGCTGTTTTATTTCTTTAAAAGTACTTCTATAACAAACTTAAAATTTAGAAAAGTCCTTTATTTCACGAAAGGAGTTCATAATGAGTTTTTCATGCCATATTGTTTGACGTAGGTTGCAGATTATTAACTACAGGGGCTTATCTCTGGCCTGGAGCCAGGATGCAGAACAGGTGACAGACAAATCAACAAGACCCATGAATTGACACAGAAAGCATGACACAGAAATGCTAGAGAGGCAACATTGCCATAAATATAAACCTTAGCCCAAGATAGCTGAGGAATCAGAAAATCCTAATTTAAAAAGGGGGGGCGGGGCATATATCTGATATTGAATTACACAGTCACCAAAGTTTGAAAAAAATTTTAAATTTTTTTATTGTTATAAAGGTGATGTGCAGCCAGGCGCCGGTGGCTCACACCTATAATCCTAGCTACCCAGAAGGCTGAGATCTGAGGATTGGATTCAAAGCCAGCCCAGGCAGGAAAGTCCATGAGACTTATCTCCAGTAAGCCACTCAGAAAACTGGAAGTGCGGTGGCTCAAGTGGTAGCGGTGGCTCAAGTGGTTGTGCTAGCATTGAGCTGAAGAGCTGAGGGACAGAGTTCAAGCCCCATGAACGACATAAATAAATACAGGTGATTGCAGAGGGGTTACAGGTAATATGTATATTTCTTTTGGGGGGGGGCCGTGTCACTCCGTTTTTTTTTTTTTTTGGTGGGTTGTGGGGCTTTAACTCAGGGCTAGAGTGCTGTCCTTGAGCCTCTTTGTGCTCAAGAATAACATTCTACCACTTGAGCCATAACACCACTTCCAGTTTTTTTTTTTTTTTTTTTTTTGGGTCCAGTCGTGGGGCCTGAACTCTGGGCCTGGGCGCTGTCCCTCAGCTCTTCAGCTCAAGGCTAGCGCTCCACCACTTGAGCCACAGCACCACTTCCGGCTTTTTTCTTTTTGCTTATGTGGTGCTGAGGAATCGAACCCAGAGTCTCAGGCATGCAAGGCAAGCGCTCTACCACTGAGCCAACTTCCCAACCCCCACTTCCAGTTTGAGTGGTTAATTGAGATAGGAGTCTCATGGGGACTTTTCTTCCCAGGCTGGCTTTGAACTAGCATCCTCTGATCTCTGCTTCTTGAGGAGCTAGGATTACAGGCATGAGCCACCAGCACCTGCCTTCTAATTAATTTTCAATTCAAATAGAAACATCTTATTTTGTCTTACTGAATACTGAAGCAGTTTATGAAAAGGAATAAAAGAACTTTAGATATTAGATGACCATAAAGTCAAAATACTATAAGATGCAATATATGCTTATGTCTTGGACACTGTACTTTTTTTTGGTCGGTCATGGGATTGAAGGCTGGGCTTGGGTGCTGTCCCTCAGCTCTTCAGCTCAAGTCTAGTGCTCTACCACTTGAGCCATGGCGCCACTTCCAGTTTTCTGGGAGTTAATTGGACATAAGAGTCTCATGGACTTTCCTGCCTGGGCTGGCTTTGAAACTCAATCCTCAGATCTCAGCCTCCTGAGTAGCTAGAATTACAGGTTTGAGCCACCAGCACCCGGTTGGACCCAGTACTCTTATCCATAAGTTTCTCTGTATTCTAACTTTCATTTCTTTACTAGGTAATGCAGAGTATTTATATTTTTTTTCCTGAGAGCTTCTGGAGGAAATAACAGAAATGAACTTGATTCCCTTCTCAATAGAATTTATTCTTCAAATGGAGGAACTTGAAAAAGTAAAAAGAAAAAAAATACTTGGCATATCTGTGTTCTTGGAATACTCTTTCTGAACAGATTAGTGCTATGAAGTGATTTGGTGTTGAAAGTGATGTGAGTGGAGACAGTGCAGACAGTAGGAACTCTAAAGTATTCAAGGGATAAAAATAATTTTGTGTTGTCTGTCCTGTGTTTCTCAAGGGATAAAAATAATTTTGTGTTGTCTGTCCTGTGTTTCTTCCTTGGTGATTGTTGGTGAATAGGAAAAGGAAACAAAGTGGCCTCTTGTTAGAAGAGGAGGAGGAGGAAGAGGATACCAGGGCAGAATCTGGAGGAACTAGTAGCGAAGAAGAAGATGGAGAAGAGCAAGAAAAAGGCATTGGGTCAGAGGTTGCAAGGAAAAAGAAAGAAGATGAACTGTGGGCCAGCTTCCTCAATGATGTGGGACCAAAGTCAAAAGCATCCCCAAGTACACAGGTTAAGGTAAGTTTAGAGATGAATATCTCTCCAGAAATATCCCAAGTTTTCAGAATTTTCTGTTTCTTTTTTCTTTGCAAACTGAGATTTGAATCTTATCGCAGAAAGCAGACTTGATACCTTATTATGGGGGCTAAGTTTAGACTTTGGTGTAACTGATTGGATTTCTTTATCTTTTCACAGACAGGAGAAGAGAGTGAAGAGACAAGTTCAAGGAAGTTGTTGGTAAAAACAGATGATTTAGAGAAACCTAAAGAAACTGAAAAAGTTAAAATCACCAAGGTGTTTGATTTTGCTGGTGAGGAAGTGAGGTAAGAGGACCTTTATATACTAATGAAGCCAATAAAACTAATGCTTTTAAAAATGAGCAACTTTCTTCTTTTTTTTTTTTTTTGGTCGGTCGCTGGGCTTGAACTCTGGGCCTGGGCGCTGTCCCTTAGCTCTTCAGCTCAAGGTGAGCGCTCTACCACTTGAGCCACTTCTGGTTTTCTAGTGGTTTATTGGAGATAGGAGTCTCACGGTCTTTCCTGCCCGGGCTGGCTTTGAACTGAGATCCTCAGATCTCAGCTTCCTGAGTAGCTAGGATTACAGGTGTGAGCCACCGGCGCCCGGCTAAAGTGAGCAACTTTAAGTTAAGTGATGTTAACATCTGTCTTCATTTTAATCCATCTTAACATTTTGGAAAAGTTTTAGATAATCTGAGAAAAATTTGTATTTCCACTTTGTCATCACATGTTTTGTGACTTTGGATAAGTCATTATTCTAAAGAGAATGTGAACTAGCCCTAGGAGGCCTCTGAAATCAGGTAGCAATTGAAAATTCTTGGGGAGAAATTTGGCTCCAATATTATTTTCTTAATGTTATTTAAATAGATTCGAAGCTTATTTACTATAATACAGAAAAACAGTAGAGGCATAAAGTCTTGACCAGTTTAGCCTACTGGGTGTTTTAAGTTAAAAGCCATATGCTTGGAGAATTTCTTTTCTTCCTCTCCCTACTTAGCTAAATTTTTTATATGAAAACTGCATTGTAATTAAAAGTTAAGAACAGATGAAATATCAATCAGTTTTTTTTAAGTGGCTATGTTTATTTCCCTTAACAGTTACAAATTAAACATGGAAACAGCCTGAAAATTGAATTTCCCCTGAAGTTATTGTTATTAAAATAATACCTGGCTGGGCGCCAGTGGTTCATGCCTGTAATCCTAGCTACTCAGGAGGCTGTGAAAAGTCTCTGTCAGGAGGCTGACATTTTAGGATTTGGGGTTCAAAGTCAGCCTGGGCAGGAAGATCTGTAAGATGCTAGTTAACCACAGAAAGCTGGAAATGGAGCTGCAGCTCAAGTGCTGGAGTGCTAGCTTTGAGCAAAAGCCCAGGAACAATTCCAGACCCCGAGTTCAACCCCATGACTGGCAAAAAAATAAGACAAAACATTAGTCTTGAGCACAAAAGCTCAGGGACAGTATTCAGTCCCAGAGTTCAAGCCCCAGGACCAGAACAAAAAAATAATAACAAAACAATAATAACTGTTTCCCAGTAATTATAATCATCCTTCCATATTGGAATATTGGTCCCACTGTCGAGCCAGATTCCTTACTCATGTTCATTACATAAATAAAATGGTGTAATATTTGTATATAAATTATTCACAGCTTTTTGCATCTCTGTATTATTTATAATACCTAGCTCAGTTTCAGTGACACACAAATAGTATTATTGTTTAGGAAATAATGACATGAAAAGTATGTACATGTGCTGTATAGATGGAATTCTATTTTTCTGCATATTTTCTGTCTGCATCATTGAATTGATGATGTGGAACCCAGCAATACAGAATCAATCAGCTGCACTTTTGTTTCATTTGTGTTTCACTTTTGTTTTGTTGCTTATTCATGCTGGTACTCAGGCTTGAACTAGATATTTCAGCTTAAACTCAGCAGTGCTTTTACTCACTTTTTAATTCTGCCCCTTAAGCTACACTTCTAATTCCAGCTTTTTGCCTATGCTGGTTTTGCCTGTCCTCAGATATCAGCCTCCTGAATAGCTAAGATTATAGGTATGAGCCACTGGCACCCACCTGAACTGTATGTAACCAATGAAAATGCATTTTGAAAGACGAAATTTGGCATGATCAATTTTATCAATAGTATGGAGCAAAAACTTACTGTTTTATTTTCTCCTAAACATTGTCTTATGAAAACTGTCATACAGAAATGTTGCTGGAGGGCTGGGAATATGCCTTAGTGGTAGAATGCTTGCCTAGCAATGCATAAAGCTCTGGAATTGATTTCTCAGTACCATATAGACAGTGGAGCTTTGGCTTAAGTAGTACAGTGCTAGCCTTGAGCAAAAGAAGCTCAGGGACAGTACCCAACCCTGAGTTCAAGACCCAGTACTGGCAGAAAAAAAATGTTGCCAGAATAGAATGAATACCCATGTGCTTATTCGTTGTTTTGCCTTTAATATACTTGTATTTTTTTTGTTTTATTTAATCCATTTGGGAATTGCTTATAAACATTATAACATTTAGTTCTTACATACTTCAGCACATGTCTCCTTTTTGTTCTATAGGAGATCCAGGATTGATAATGACAAGTTAGATCACACAGACCACATCTGTTAGAGTTGTTTATTATAAGGTACTCTTTTTTTTGGGGGGGGGGCCTGAACGCTGGGCCTGGGCACTGTCCCTCAGCTCTTCAGCTCAAGGCGAGTGCTCTACCATTTGAGCCACAGCACCACTTCCGGCCTTTTTTTTCTGCTTATGTGGTGCTGAGGAATCGAACCCAGGGCCTCGTGTATGCAAGGCAAGCACTCTACCACTGAGCCACCTTCCCAACCCTAAGGTACTCTTTTCCTTGGGAGTTAGTTGTTTTGGGGATTCGTTCGAGAATGATGATATGAATTGGTAACTCTATTGGAAGTTACTGAATTGTCCAATGGGGTTAAAGAGAACACTGTCAGTAAGCCAATCATTGATAAGTCCTATAAAAATAATGCAGAGACATCTGGGTGCCAGTGGCTCACACCTGTAATCCTGGCTGCTCAGGAGGTTGAGATCTGAGGATCATGGTTCAAAGCCAGGCCATGTAGGAAAGTCTGTGAGACTCTTACCTCCAATTAATCGCCAAAAAGCTGAAAGTGGGCTGTCTCATCTGGTTTGCCTTGAGCACAAGTGCCCAGTCTCTGAATTCAAGCCCCAGTAGCAGCAAAAAATAAAAATAATGTAGGGAAGTTCTATAAACGTAATACACTAAGCTGGATACTGGTGGCTCATGCCTGTAATTCCAGCTATTTAGGAGGCTGAGATCTGAGAGATCACAGTTCAAAGCTAGCCTGGGCAGGAAAGACTATGAGACTCTTTTCTCTAATAAGCTACTCAGAAAAAGCTTGAAGTGGCACTGTGGCTCAAGTGGTAGAGGGCTAGCCTTTGAGCAAAAGCTCAGGGACAATGTGCAGGCCCAGAGTTCAAGCCCCAGAACTGGCAAAATAATAATAATTATTTTTGTACTGTGTTGATGTTGCATTAGACATATAGATTTAAAATAAAAACTTTTACACTTCTGTTTTAGCCTGGATTATATCCATGTGCATACAGAATACCCAAGGAAGAGTTATTTTTATCTTTACCAGGAGCCTGCATAGAGAGCTCAAAAAGCTGGGAATAAGCTGATCAAATTAAAATTTATGGTTTGTTTGCAAATACAAATATATTCCACAAGTTTACTACTTAATTTTTGAAAGTAAGCAGCAAGTTTTAATAATGGCTGTGTATTCAAGGAGTTTGCTGTTTCCACATTTTGTCAGAAGAGGGCAGTACCAAATCTATCAAAAAGGAAACATGAATATGGAAGGACTTATTTTTTTCATTAATTATATACTCATGCACACGTTTATTTCTGAAAGTAATATGTTTATTGTTTGTAAAAAGCCATAAATTGCAAGACAAGAGATAGTACTCTTTTTTTTTTTTTGTCTTTTTTCTTTTGGTACTGGGGATTAAACTCAGGATGTTGTTGTTTGTTTGTTTTTTGTCAGTCGTGGGGCCTGAACTCGGGGCCTGGGCGCTATCCCTCAGCATTTCAGCTCAAGGCTAGTGCTCTACCACATGAGCCACAGCACCACTTCCAGCTTTTTTCTTTTTGTTTATGTAGTGCTGAGGAATCAAACCCAGGGCCTCATGCATGCAAGGCAAGCACTCTACCACTGAGCCACCTCCCCAGCCCTAAACTCAGGATGTTATACTTGCTAGGCAAGCACATTGCCACTGAGTCACATCCCAGCCCAAGAAAGTATTCTTTAACTATCTCTTCCTAAAGAGAATGGAAACTTTATTAATACTTGGTATGTTGGCAGGAATTTTTTTAAACATTATTTATATTTAACTTTGGTTATAAGTAACCTTCTTGAGGGAAATTTGAATTTTAATTAACAATCCAGATATAAATTGGTGCCTGGATTTAAGCATATCTTTTCATCCTGTCCTTTTTTTTATTATTATTATTTTGGTTGGTCATGGGCTTAAATTCAGGGTCTGGATGCTGTCCATGGGCTCTTTTTTGCTCAAAGCTAGCAATCTACCACTTTGAGCCACAGCTCCACTTCTAGTTTGTTTTCTGAGTGGTTGATTGGAAGTAAGAGTCTCATGGGGACTTTCTTGCCCAGGCTGTCTTTGAACCAGGATCTTCAGCTCTCAACCTCCTGAGTACCTGTGATTAGAGATATGAGGCAGCACCTGGCTCTTTTCGTCTATTGATATCATTATTCTGCTTTTTCTTTTTGTCTTTGTATTAAGTTAAGAACTTTACTACCTCTTTAAGAAATGTGCGAAGGCTCGTAATGGCTTGGAAGAGCGTGTAAGTGTAAGCATAAGGTAATGTTAGCACAAAACTAGTCTTAGTTTTTCTTTTCTTTTTTTTCTTTTTTTGGTCCGGTAGTGGGGCCTGAACTCTGGGCCTAGGCTATGTCCCTCAGCTCTTCAGCTCAAGGCTAGCGCTCTACCACTTGAGCCACAGTGCCACTTCTGGCTTTTTTTTCTGCTTATGTGGTACTGAGGAATTGAACCCAGGGTCTCATGCGTGCAAGGCAAGCGCTCTACCACTGAGCCACCTTCCCAGCCCTAGTCTTAGTTTTTCTAATGGTGTTTTGATTGTTCATTTTGGATTTTTGGTGTTTCATAGTTTATTAACCTTGGTGAATGGGGAAAATGCTATTCTTATCTGTCCTTACCATATAACTAGCTGAGCCAACTAGCTCAGACTTTTTAAAATGATTCATCTTTTGGAAAAGGCCAGTCATGGAAAGTTTCTGCC